CCAGGAAAATAAAGTCAGTCAGTGTTTCCATTTTCCCCCTATCTGTTTGCCTTAAATTTATGGACCAGGTACCATGATCTTAGTTTTTTGAATGTTGAGTTTAAGCCAGCCTTTTCACTCTTCTCTATCACCTTCATCAGGAGGCTTTTTAGCTCCTCTTAGCTTTCTGCCATTAAGGTAGTGTCATCTGCATATCTGAGGTTATTGACACTTCTGGCAATTTTGATTCCAGCTTATTCTTCATTCTGCATGGCATTTCACATGATGTACTCTGCTTAGAAGTTAAGCAAGCAGGGTGACAGTATACAGTCTTGACGTACTCCTTTCCCAGTTTGGAACCAGTTCATTGTTCCATGTCTGGTTCTAACTGTTGCTGCTTGACTGCATATAGGTTTTTCAGGAGGCAGGTCAGGTGGTCTGGTATTCGCATCTCTTTAAGAATTTTCTGCAGTTTGTTGTGATCCACATAGTCAAAGGCTTTAGCGTAGTCAGTGAAGCAGAAGTAAATGTTTTTCTGGAATTCCCTTGCTTTTTCTATGATCCATCAGTTCAGTTCAGTTTAGTTGCTCAGTTGTGTCTGACTCTTTGCGACCCCATGGACTGCAGCATGCCAGGCCTCCCTTGTTCATCACCAACTCCCAGAGTTTACCCAAACTCATGTCCATTGAGTCGGTGATGCCATGCAACCATCTCATCCTCTGTCGTCCCCTTCTCCTCCCCCACTCAATCTTTCACAGCATCAGGGTCTTTTCAAATGAGTCAGTTCTTTGCATCAGGTGGCCACAGTATTGGAGTTTCAGCTTCAGCAACAGTCCTTCCAATGAATAATCAGGACTTTTTTCCTTTAGGGTGGACTGGTTGGATCTCCTTGCCGTAAAAGGGACTCTCAAGAGTCTTCTTCCAACACTGCAGTTCAAAAGCATCAATTCTTCGGCGCTCAGTTTTCTTTACAGTCCACCTCTCACATCCATACCTGACCACTGGAAAAACCATAGCCTTGACTAGATGGATCTTTGTCAGCAAAGTAATGTCTCTGGTTTTTAATATGCTGTCTAGGTTGGTCATAACTTTCCTTCCGAGGAGTAAGCGTCTTTTAATTTCATGGCTGCAGTCTTCCATATGCAGTGATTTTGGAGCCCCCCAAAATAAAGTCAGCCACTGTTTCCCCAGAGGGCAGACGGACTGGAACCACAATCACAGAAAACTAGCCAATCTGATCACATGGACCACAGCCTTGTCTAATTCACTGAAACTAAGCCATGCCATTTGGGGCCACCCAAGACGGACAGGTCATGTGGAGAGTTCTGACAAAATGTGGTCCACTGGAGAAGGGAATGGCAAACCACTTCAGTATTCTTGCCTTGAGAGCCCCATGAACAGTATGAGCAGTATGATCTATCAGATGTTCGCAATTTGATCTTTGGTTCCTCTGCCTTTTCTAAATCCAGCTTGTACATCTAAAATTTCTCGGTTTATGTATTGTTGAAACCTATCTTGAAAGATTTTGCGCATGACTCTGCTAGCGTGTGAAATGAGTTGCAGTTGTGCTGTAGTTTTAACATTGTTTGGCATTACCCTTTTTTGGGATTGAAATGAAAACTGACCTTTTCCACCACTGTTGTGTCCCTATAGAGTAGTTTCTCTGCCCTAAACATCCTCTGTGCTGTACTTATTCATGCCTCCTTCCTTTTAAACTCCTGAACACCACTGATATTTTTACTGTCTCAATATTAAAAACTGACTTTGGCCTTTTCCAGAGCCATGCAATATATATTTAAGCCTCCCCTGTGTTTTTTCATGGCTTGATAGCTAATTTTGTTTTAAATCCTGAGTCATATTCCAATGTCCGGAGGCACTATAGTTTATATATTTTTAATTTATTTTAAATTGGGGAATTTTACAATATTTTATTGATTTCTGCCATTTATCACATGAATTGGCCATAGATATACGTGTGTCCCTCCCTTTTGTATCTCCCTCCCACCCCCTCAGTTGTCACAGAGCACAAGATTTGAGGTAGGTACTGTCATTTATTTATCCGCCCATCTACTGAAGGGCATCTTGATTGCTTTCACGTTTTGGCAGCTGTGAACAAAGCTGATGTCCATATCCATGTGCAAGTTTCTGTGTAAGCAAGGTTCTCAGCTCCTTTGGGTAAATACCAAGAAGCATGATTGCTGGATCTTGTAGTAAGAGTATGTTTAGTTCTGTAAGAAACTGTCCACTGTTTTCCACTGTGACCATACCATTTTGCATTCCCTCTGGTGATGATGGAGAGTTCTTGTTCCTCATCCTTGTCAGCATCTGGTATCGTTGTTGTTTTACATTTTGGGCAGTGTGATGCTTGTGGAATGATGTCTTATTGTTTTGACTTGAATTTCCCTGATGACCTGTGATGTGTAGCATTTTTTCATCTGCTTATTGCTCGTTTCTATATTTACTTTAAGTGTCAGTTTAGATCTTTCCCTCATTTTTATATTAAAAACTTTAAAGGTATATTTACTCGTTTATTTGGCTGTGTTGGAGTTTAATTGTGGCATGCTGGATCTTCATTGCATCGTGCGGCATCATTTGTTGTGGTGCCTTAGTTCCCTGAGCAGGCATACGTCCCCTGCTTCGCAAGGTAGATTCTTAACCATTGGACTATTGGGGAAGTCCCTAGAAATACGTTGATTTTTGTATGTTGATCTTTACTCTGGTAACCTTATTGAGCTAACTCACTAGCTCTAGGAGTTTTTGTTGTTGTTGATTCCTTGGGATTTTAGATGTGTCAGTTGTGTTGTCTGCAAATATGTGTGTGTGTGTGTGTGTGTGTGTGTATCTGTCTATAAAAAAATCACTCAGTTGAGTCCGACTCTTTGTGACCCCATGAACTGTAGCCCTTTACAGGCTCCTCTGTCCATGGGATTTACCAGTACTGGAGTGGGTTGCCATTTCCTCCTGCAGGGGGTTTTCCTGACCCAGGGATCGAACCCAGGCCTCCTGCATTGCAGACACCTTCTATAATGTCTGAGCCCCCAGGGAAGCCCTGCACATTGGGAGTTTTATTTCTTTCTTTCTTATCCATATGACTTTCTCCCCATTCTTTTCTTTTTATCCTTGCTCTTTAATTCTACTTTTTTTTTAAGTTGTTATTATTTTTTAAACTTATTTTTGGCTGTGTTTGGTCTTTGTTGCTGTGCGGGGACTTTCTCTGGTCTCCGTGAGCTGGGCTACTTCCTCTCCAGTCGCGGTGCACGGGTTTCCCGTTGTGGTTGGCTTCTCTTGTTGTGGAGCGCAGGACCTAGGTGCACAGTCTTCTGTAGTTGCAGCATGGGCTCAGTGGTTGGCACCTCTCAGAGTCTAGAGTTTGGGCTCAGTGGTTGTGGCCCTTGGGCTTAGTTGTTTTGCAGCCTGTGGAATCTTCCTGGACCAGGGATCGAACCTGTGTCCCCTGCATTGGCAGGTGGATTCCAGTGTACCACCAGGGAAGTACACCCCCCCCCCCCCCCCGCCGCCTTTCTTTTCTGTTTGTGTAGAACTTCCAGTACCATGTTGAGTGGCAGCGGTGAGAGTGGAGACCTTGCCTTGTTCTTGGCCTTAGGGGGAATGCAATCATGGTGTTAGCTGTAGGTTTTGGATAAGTAGTGTAGTATCTAGAGCAGTCATTTAAATTCCTGATTCTGGAAACAACCTTTTATTTTCCCTGGAGCTTCTATAGAAAATTCTTTTTAGGGCTCAATGTCCTGAAATGATGGACATGTGGTTCAGCTATTGAATTCATTGTATTAGACCTGCAAGGGGCTTATAGGCTCATATTTGTTTGTTCTATGAAAAATTTTGAAACATTTCATGGATTCTTTCCTCTGTTTTTCTCTGTTCTTTCTTTTTGGAATTCCTATCTATATGTTGGAACTTTGAGATGGTCCTTTAACAATTCTCTTGTGCATGTTTGTGTTCAGTTGCTCAGTGGTTTCTCACTGTTTGCAGCCCCATGGGCTGTAGCCTGCCAGGCTCCTCTCTGGATAAGAACACTAGAGTGGGTTGCTATTTCCTCCTCCAGGAGATCTTCCTGACCAGGGATCGAACCTACCTTCCGTGCATCAGCAGGTACATGCTTTACCACTGAGCCACTGGGAAGCCTGTTTATGTGTATATAAATTAATGCTGTTTTTGTCTTTTTTTGCGGGTGGTTTTTTTTTTTTTCCCCAGCTCTGTTCTCTAGGAAATTTTCTCTTATCCTTGCATTGAGTTTTTAAATAATATCCAACATCTTTTTAATTTCCGAGATCTCTCTTTCATTTCTAAGCATCAGTTTTTCTTTGCATTATTACTTTGTTTCATTCTTGAAATATGTTCTTATATTTTTAAAAAATTATTAATGATAGTTTCGAATTTTTTGGTATTTTTAGCCACATTTCCAGGCGATTTTACCTATTTATAAGCAGCAGACTAAAAAGTTGATTGCAAGTGATGTGTGTTTTGCATTCTCTGACTTCATTCAGGGTACTTTGCTTATGCTGTTTCTTGGTGTTCTTTGCTTGACAGTGTCTTTCTTTCTTCATGGTCTGGCTGATTTTTATTTTCTAATACATTGCTACTCAGTTTACTAGTCTTTTTTTAGGATTTTACACTGTTGTACATTGAGAATGGCCTGAAATTTTGAGGTTTTTAAAGTTTCTGTTATGACCTTTTATTTAACTTTGACATCAAAATTATACAACTCTTAGGTAATTAGTTGGTGGAATTGGGGGTAGTTTTCTGATTGCATGGAGAACATGTGTAAAATTGAAGTTGTTGCCAAATTAAAAAAAGATTTTAAATGTTCATTAATTTTTAAAGTAGTTATAGGTTTATTTATAGCTTTTCTATTTTCTGTTCAGTTGTATAAATGTATTGATTTAAATGAATGTTTTGCTGTGTCTTTAACCATAAATATTTTGAGAGAATGAAAATAATAGGGATATACAAGAATACTTTTTGAAGTTTTGTTTTACATTTCACTTCATTTTCCTTATCAGGTGCTCAAAAGTGTGACAACTTTGCTGAAAAAAGGCCCCTCCTTGGTGTTTGTAAGAGCACTGGATCTTCTGGGTAAGGAATTTAAAAAAAGTTTTTCGAACCACTATTAAAATTTTGTGTTATTTCAGAGGGGGGACTTTGATGTCTTCAAGTCTTTGTTTACCATAAGACTATGCTTTTACAAGAGGGATGGGACAGGACTTAATAACATATTTAGGGTTTTTGCCACACAGGACACTTTATTTTTCTGCTCAACTGTTTTCTTTCAAATGTAGGTGATAGCAGGACATGAAAGAAAGCCAGCAGTATATCATAATTCATGAAAGATTAGCATCATTAAGAAAATACATTTCATTTTGTTTATTTTTTTTAGTATTTATAATGGCCTTTTACAGTGGATTAGAAGTTACTATTATGTCATCATCATCGTCAACTGTTATTAACATTTTTTTTTACATTGTTTTGAGGATCTTTTTAAAAAATTTTCACTTTATATTGGAGTATAGTTGATTAACAACGTTGTGTTAGTTTCAAGTGTAGAGCAAAGTGATTCAGTTATACACATACATGTATCTTTTCTTTTTCAGATTCTTTTCCCATGTAGGTTATTACAGAGTGTTGAGTAGAGTCCCTCCTTTGCTACACAGTAGGTCCTTGTTGGTTATCTGTTCTCTGCATAGCAGTGTGTATTCCATCATGCTTTCATGTTTATATTAGAATATATATTATGATCCTTAGGTAAGATGTTAATGGAAGATAAGTTAGTATATCTTAATGGTAATAATATATAGCATAGTGTATATTGTGTATTAGCCAACAATTTATTGTTGTTGTAGCATGTGCCTAACACTGTTCTAAAGGCATTACATGAATTTTCTCTTTTATTTCTGTTAGCAATACTTTGAAATAGATACTGTTCTTATTCCTATTTTGTAGTTTAGAGAAACTCAGGCACTGAATTCTTACAGTGAAACTGTGGATTCAAACCCAAGCAAGCATACTTTTTAAAAAAAAATTTTTATTGAGTATAGTTGATTTTTAGTGTTTCGTTTCAGGTGTGCAGCAAAGTGAATCAATTATACATCTACATATATCCACTGTCTTTCTAGATTCTTCAAGCAGGTATACTCTTAGTTCCATGCTCATTGCATTTGTGACAGTGAGAGGCTTACTAACTAAGATGATTAATTGTTATTGCTCATGAAGTCAAGTTTTCCCTACTTTCTCTATATATTAAATGAGAACAATATTCTTCATAATGGCTTGTAGTGATTTAGTTATCAGATTTGCAGTGACCTTTTCACCATATAATTCCAGTTAGGAATTATTTTCAACTGCTGGTAAAGTTCCAATGGTCTATACAAACCTTGGAAGTGAATTACTGGGTAGGCAGTGCAGGGCCAGTGAAATGTTTCTGCCATGTGTCATTAATCTAGATTCTTTCCATTTCTAGCTTTGACATCTTTTAGAACATGACCCCTTCCCTTTATGATCTCAAGAAGGCTACTGTCTTATCAGTTAGTATCTCCTCATCTTGAACTCCTCGCTGCAAGGAAATCAGGGATACTACTGGGGTTTTGTTAGTAAGGTAGAGGATCAAAGTGAGTGTTAGGCCTGGCAGCCGTAGTCTTTGCCGTGTGCTTTCCGCTGATAGTGTCTGGGCCATGGGTGCAGTGCCCAAGGAAAGAATGTGCTAATGGAGTAACGTGGTTGATCTTGGGGTCTTCATTGTTGCTCTCTGGGGAAGTGGTTTGACTCCATGTGTTACAAGGCAGTTTTCTTCCAGTGTAAAGTTTTGGGTTGAAGTGAGCAAAAATTAACTGTGTACTCATCACTTTGCTAGGTATGGGATAAGGATACAAAACATGAAAACCTAACTCTGTGTCCCACAGATTTAAGAGTATTGTTGAAAGCAAAAACATAATACACAGAAAATGATTATGGGATAATGACATCAGCGTGCACATGCATGTGTGCTCCATCATTCGACTCTGTGTGACTGCATGGACTGTAACCTACCAGGCTCCTCTGTCCATGGAATTTTCCAGGCAAGAATACTGAAGTGGGTTGCCATTTCCTACTCCAGGGAATCTTCCTGCCCAGAAATTGAACCCTCGTCTCCTGCATTGACAGGCAGATTCTTTACCACTACCCCACCTGCAAAGCCCAGTGACTAATTGGAATTCAAAGAAGGTAGAGGTCAGTGTACCTGGATTGACAGGAGAAGGCCTCATGAAGAAGGCACAGCATGTGCTGGACTTAAAGAAATAAAGTTTGGCAGTGTTATAGAAGACGAAGAACTTCCAGAATAGGTTATAAAGGTGTAGCTGGGAAACAGAAACTGGTAGATATATTCTTAGGAAAGATGTAGGTTTGTGACTTACAGTGAAGTTCATCTGCAAGATAGGTAATAACAACCGTTTCATTGCTCTAGAACTCAACTGAAGGCTTCCAACAATGTGAAAAGTGTTTATGTTTAAGAGACTGGTAAATATTAAGTCATTGTGGGAATCTGTGGCATTCATGCCTAGAGCTGCTTGAGTCACACTCCACCGTTTCTGTTTCCAACTTGGTTGATTCTTCCATGGTGGGGAATGTCATGGCCATGCTCAGCAGCATTGTCCATGGAACTTATGGTTATGGGGTTGTGTGGGCCCATGGCTCTTTTAGCCTAAAATCATGATCAGCTAAGGCTTCATGTATGTGCAAAGGAGCCGTGAAAGCATCTAAGGGAAACTAAAACCTGGGAGACTTGGAAATATCTGACTGTTGAATGTGTTCCTTTGCACACACAGAGACCCTTTTGGAAAGAATGACAGCCTTTATTGACTCGGGTGGTTGAATAAATTCTCTGTTGAACCTTTGGCTAATCATTAAGCTACATAGACACAGGGGTGGCCCCCAGGAAAGCAGGCTTTAAAATGAAAGCAAGAATTAAAAATAAAATCCAGCAGAGGCATTAGTAACTCTGTATTGTGGAGCAAAGTAGCTTTCCAGAATTCTTGTACCACACTATAAAACATGTCTAATTTCCAACATAAAATTATGACACATGCCAAGAAACAGCAAAGTATGATATATTGAGAAAAGGAAGTAGGTGATAGAAACTGTTGCTGATTGCTTCCAGTGTTAAATTTTGGAGACAAGGCTTTTAAAGCAGCTGTTATACATATGTTCTAAAAACTAAACTAAATGAACCGTGTTTATGGAATGAAAGGAAAGCTTGGTAACAATGACTGGACATATAGAGAATCTCAGTTAGAAATAAGAAATTATAGAAAAACCAAATGGAAATTCTAGAGTTGAAAAGATAAAAGTGAAACAATAAGCTTGCTAGAAGAACACAACACTATATTCTGGTCAGCACATGGATCAGAGAACTGTTATGTTAACAAGAGAGGTGAAAGGGAATGGGTGGGCTTGCTTGGTGGTACAGTGGTTAAGAATCCACCTGCCAATGCAGCAGACAGGGGTTCAATCCCTGGTCCAGGAGAATCCCACAGGCCACAGAGCAGCTAAGCCTGTGCGCCACAATTGCTGAGCCTACACACTACAACTACTGAACCTACGTGCTGCAACTACTGAGACTTGTACTCCATAGCAAGAAAAGCCACCGCAATGAGAAGCTGCCGTGTGCAATGTAATTCACTAGAGAGCAGCCCCTGCTCTCAGCACCTGGAGAAAGCCCATGCAGCAACAAAGACCCAGCACAGCCAAAAGCAAAATAAATAAATAAATCTTTAAAGGGAAAAAAAGAAAGGGAATGGAAACCCCAGAGAAGAGTTGAAGAAGTACCTGTGGTGAAAGAAACCTTCCTTGACTTCACTTTTCCTGATGTTTATTAAGCCTCTGCAATTCAGGCACACCCAGTCCCGTTGAAGCCCCACAAAAAGATGTGTTTGTGGAAGATAGTCAGCTATTTCCTGAGTTTGGCTTGCAAGTGTTGAAAGATTTTCCATTCCTTAGCAACCCTGCTTAACTGTGTGATTAAGGTTTTTATTTTTTTTGCCTCCCTGTGTGGCATGTGTGATCTTACTTCCCTGACTAGGAATTGAACATATACTCCCTGCAATGGGAATGTGAAGCCTTAACCAGCAGACAACCGGAAAGTCCCAAGGAGATTATTTTTATTTTTACAGGATTCATTTATTGAGGTGTCACTTGAATATATATATAGTAGGTGATGAGATTATTTATATTGAGAGATGACTCTGATGGTATGTGGGTTATATTAGTCTAATCTAGAGAATTAGAACCAGTGGGAAGTGGGATTATATATATGAGGAGAGAGGGAAGAAGGGAATGGGGGTGTTGATTTTGAGAAATTGACTCATGATTGTGAAGCCTGAACATCCAAAATCTGCAGACTGAGGAAAGAGTTGCAATTTCTAACCCTCTTCCTCCGAGGAAGTCAATTTTTTGAAGATTTTATTAAGACTTTCAGCTGATTGGATGAGTCCCATTCGAGTTATGAAGCATCACCCACTGTACTCAAATTCTGCTGATTTAAATGTTAATCTTATGTAAAAAAAAATACCCTCACAGAAATATCTAGAATAATATTTGACCAAATCTGATTTTTGTGGCCTAGCCAAGTTGACACAGTAATCACCACAGGGGTGATGAATATAGTTCTGATTAAAATAGCATTTGTCTACTGGAAAAAAATCTATTGTAGACACTCATTTCCCCACTCCCATGTCTCTCTTTAAATTTATTTCATAGTAGGAGAATCATTCTGCAAAGAGAGGCTATATGTCTGTATCTTTTGCTGGGTTGTTTTAAGAATTGTTATTGATAAATGAATGTGAAGATATTTCCTTCTTGGTTTTAAGCACAGCACCTTCTAACTAGCAGGGCCCCAAACTATTTATTTTTTGCTAAATGAATTTTAGTAAGTTTTCTGTACAGTCATACTCATCCTTTATTTGAATATTAGTAACACTTTTTTTCTTTCAAATGGTTGAGAAAATGTCTTAATCTGAGGAACCACATGTCCTGAACCTGGGTGCTGATGTCTTCTTCAAAGCCTGTGGTGCACAAAATCTTAGGACCGCCTTAACCCTTTGGGA